AGTCATTGAATGCTCCTGATTAAATCTAAAGAATATTGAATGATTTTGAATTCATTTAAAGAACATTGAATGATCCTGAGATTTAGTTTGCAAAAACGTTGAATAATTTTGAATTCATTCTAAAAGGCATTAAATGACTCAAAAGGAAAAAATTCACTTAAGAAACATTGAATGATCATTAAATTAACTTAAAGAAAATTTTAAAAAATCTTAATGTTTACTAAATAATATTATTAATGATAATGAATGATAATGAATGATAATGAATGATGATTAATGATGATTAATGATGATGAATGCTGATTAATGATCCATTCAAGAAATAATTTCACGAAATGTAAAAATAATACGAGAATTTATCATTTTTGCACGAAAATCATTGATGGTCATTAATTAATTTTTCAAATCGTTTGATGATCCTCAATTAAATCCTCGAACGTTTTTGATGATCATCAATTAATTTTTCGAATGTTTTAATGACCCTCAATTAATTTTGCGGAACGTTTTTGATGCCTAATTTTGCGAATCCTTTCGATGATCCTCAATTAATTTTACGAACGTTTTTGATGATTCTTAATTGAATTGATGAACGTTTGATGATTATTAATTCAGCAAACGTCATTGGAATGATCAAGAAATTAGTTTCCTTCGAAACATTTCAATGATTCATTCAATGAACTTTCGATAAACACAATTTTGACATTCAATTTTATTTTTACGACCATTCGACGAATTTATGATTTTATTAATTTTTCTCAAAACATTATCAATGATTCTTCAAAAAAAAAAAAAAAAAATTTGAAATTATTTTTATAAATAAATTTAATAGATTTTTGATTGGCTTTTTTATATACAAATTAATTGAATGAAGTTTGGAATCAATTTAAAGGGCTTCGAATTATTTTGAAATTATTTCAAGGAGAAATAAATTAAATTTTGTTTTTAATTTTTTTAATTTTTTAATTTTAAAAATATTTTAATTTTGACGTTTTAAACTTCTACAATTTAGAATTTTAAACGTTTTAATATTTAACAATTTAAAAATATGAACGTTTTTTAATTTTGACGCTTTTTTATTTTGACGTTTTCTACTTTTTGACGATTTTTGATTTTAACGTTTCTTAATTTTTTTATTTTTTTAATTCTATTGTTTTTTAATTTTAACTTTTTAAAATTCTGACGTTTCTTAATTTTTAACGATTTTCGATTTAAATGTTTCTTAATTTTTTTGTTTTTTAATGTTTTATTAAAATTCAATTTTTATTTATTTACTTTTTTTGTTTTTTAAATTTTAAAATTTTTTCAAATTCTGACGTTTTTTAATTTTAACGTTTTTTTATTTTGACGGTTATTTATTTTGACGTTTTTTTTTATCTTTTAACGATTTTCAATTTTAACGTTTGTTTTCTTTTTGTTATTGAATTTTGTTGTTAATTTTTAAATAATTGAAATTTCGACGTTTCTTAATTTAAAATTTTCTTTAACGATTTTCAATTTTAACTTTTTTTTTAATTTTAACTTTTCAATTGTTCGACATTTCATTTTTAACGTTTTTATTTTTCACCATTTTATTTTTAACTTTTTTTTATTTTCACCTTTTTATTTTTAACGTTTTTAATTTACATCATTTTATTTTTAAAGTTTTTAAATTTTTAAAACAGCAAATTCAATTTCACTCGAGAAAATAATAATTTCTTTTAATTTAAATAAAAATGGAACAATAATTTTAGCTATAAAACAAACAAGTAAATAATTAAATAAATAAATCGACAATATATTTATAGCGAATCGACTGTGAAATATTTGAAATGAAATATTGTAAGTTATTTTTAATGGAAAAAAGATTTGATCAATTCTTCATTTTCCTTGCTTTCAGTTAGTAAAATTTGTGTTATTTTCGTAAAATTATCAAAAACGTTTTTTTTTCTTATTTTTTTTAAATTAATGTAATTTAATAAATCGATCGTTCCAAAAGTGCATAAAGTATTGATTACTTGGGAACGATTTATTTTCGGACCTTCCTTTGGGACAAAAATTTTCATATTATCACCAAAGAACGACCGTAAAATTAAAAAAAAAATATTATTATTATTATAATTAGTAAAAGGCAACGAATTTTAGCAAAAAAAAGAGGAAAAAATCAGTTTGTGTAATAAAGTTAATTATTTTTTTGTTTTAGTTAGAAAAACGTTTTTTCTTAATTTTCCAAATTATTTACTAGTTTTGAATAATTTTTTTATTAGTTCTTTAAAAATATTTTATTATCTCTTTATTAAATTTATTTTAAACATTTCTTTAGCAAATTGTTTTAGAATTTATAACAAATTTTTTTTTTTAAAAGTTTTATAAAAAATATTTTTAAAAAGTAGTACAATTCATTAAAAAAATTTACTTTTCGTTCAAAAAAATCTTTCTCCGTCAAAAAAATGTATTTTTTCATCTAAAAAAGTTTTTCTTTCTCAAGAAAATTTATTTTTTCATTCAAGAAAATTTTTTCTTTAAAAAAAAAGTTTTTCTAAATGTAACAGATTTTTGCAGACAAAAAATTATTTTTTTGAAATGAAAACTTTTTTTGGAAGCAAAGAAACATTTTTTTTGAAATGAAAAATTATTGTCTTTAAATTGAACCATTTTTTTAAATGAAAAATTATGATTTTTAAAATGAAAAATTTTATTCTTAAATGAAAACAATTTGTTTCGAATTAAAAAATTATTTTTCAAGATAAAACTGAACTCGTTCAAAAAAATTTGTTTAATTCAAGAAAAAGTATTTTTTTAATCATGAAACAGAATTTTTACTTTAAGAAAAATTGATAAATCACGAAAAAGTATTTTTCAATCAAGAAAAAGATTTTACTTTGAGAAATAATTTTTACAATTAGAGAAAAGTATTTTTTTCTTACAAACAAATTATTTTTAACAAAGAAAATTGGTTTTTACTTTAAAAAAATGTTTTTAGTCAAGAAAAATATTTTTAGTTTCAAGAAAAGTATTTTCTCTATAAAAAAATTATTTTTCTATACGAAAAAGTATTTTTGAATAAAAAAAAGTATTTTTCATTTAAAGAAGTCTTTTTGAAAAGAAGAAAAAGTATTTTTTACTCAAAAAAAATTCTTTGAATCACGAAAAAATATTTTTTAATTAAGAAAAAGTATTTTTCAATCAGGAAAAAGTATTTTTAAATCCAGAAAAAGTATTTTTAAACGAAAAAACATTATTTAAATAAAAAAGTATTTTTAACCGAAAAAAACATTTTTTAAAATAAAAACGTATTTTCTTTAAAATGAAAATACTTTTTCTTGATTGAAAAAACTATTTCGTGATTGAACAATTTTTTTTGTAAGAAAAATTCTGTTTCATAATTAAAAAATACTTTTTCTTGTTTTAAAAAAATTTTTTGTCTAAAAAATACCTTTTCGTGATTCAAAGAATTATTTTTTCTAAAAAAATACTATTTGTTGAATGAAAAAAAATTTTTTTAATAAAAAATACTATTTCTTGATTTAAAAATTTTTTTTCTTGATTACAAAAAATACTTTTCTTAACTTGAAAGAACTTTTTTAAGGAAAAATACTTTTTCGTGAATCAAAGAATTTTCTTTTAGTTAAAAATACTTTTTCTTGATTAAAAAAAAATTTCTTTAATGAAAAATAATTTTTCTTGATTTAAAAATACTTCTTCTTGATTGAAAAATACTTATTTTGTGATGTAAAAATTTTTGTTGATAAGCAAAAATTTAGTTTTACAATTTAAAAATACTTTTTCTTGTCTTGAAAAAACTTTTTGAATTAAAAATATTTTTCTTTGATCAAAAAAAATTTTTTTACTTGAAAAACACTTTTTCTTGATTCAAAGAAATTTGTTTAAATAAAAAATACTTTTTTACGATCAAAGAAATTTTTTTTGACTGAAAAATACTTTTTTTTTACTCAAAGAGATTTTTCTGAATGAAAAACACTTTTTTTTGATTGAATGAAATTTTTTTGAATGAAAAATACTTTTTATTGTTAAAAGAAATAATTTTGCTTGAAAAATACTTATTCTTGACTCAAAGAAATTTTTTTTCTTGAAAATTACTTTTCCTTGACTCAAAAGAAATTTTTCGCTTCAAAAATACTTTATCTTGATTCAAACAAATGTTCTTTGAATGAAAAATACTTTTTCTTGATTCAAACAAATTTTCTTTAAATGAAAAATACTTTTTCTTGATTCAAAGAAATTTTTTGCTTGAAAAATACTTTTTCTTGATTCAAAGAAATTTTTTGCTTGAAAAATACTTTTTCTTGATTCAAAGAAATTTTTTTTTGAATAAAAAATACTTTTTTTTTATTCAAATAAAGTTTTTGCTTGAAAAATACTTTTTCTTGATTCAAAGAAAATTTATTTTTGAATAAAAAAAATACTTTTTCTTGATTCAAAAGAAATTTTTTTTTTAATAAAAAATACTTTTTCTTGTTTAAATCAAATTCTTTTTCGGACAAAAATACTTTTTTGGAATAAAAAAAAAATTGTTTTTAATGTCTGGCATATATTTTTTTTTTGTGTAAAGCACAAAAATTTCTTACAGTAAAATTCAAAGTCCACAAATTGCAAGAGGGGTTCATAATTCTCTCCTCTGCCGGTTCACTTGTCAGCTTCTCAAAAGCGACACGTGCAAAAACGTAAACGTCGAAACTCACTAGTTGCACTTCGCCAATTTCAGAATTGGTAGTAAAAAAAAATGAGAACACTCTCCAATTATCAGAAGAAGAAGAAAAAGCACAAATCTAAAAAATTCTCACTAATAACACAAGGGCACTGTTTTTTTTTATCTCTTTTTTATTCTTATACATTTTTATCTTCACTTTTTTCAATTCCACAAAAGGAATTTTTGGGACAGAAATCACAATCAATTTTTGATCACAATTTTTTTTTCAGGGAGAAAATTTTTGTTTGCTCTAAATTTTTTTTTGCACTTCACAAAGTGGTTTTTTTTTTTTTTTTTTTGAATCGAAACTTACCTAATATCCCAGTGGATGAAGGGTGGGTGTGTGTGTGTCTCCTTATTAGTCAGAAATTGCCTCCTCTTGGAGTCTTGTTGATAATTTTTTTTTTGAACAATTAATAATGATAATAATAATAATTATTGGGGGGTGTGTGAAATTGTTTTGGATTTTTCACTTGATTGAATTGTAGTATTCTTTTTGGTGGAAGGAATAACGCACTTTGTTTAATGTCATCGAGGGGGATGTGATGATCGTAATCGCGATCGCCACCCTTTCACCGTGGGGCGTGCGTGCGATTTTAGCCAGTTTTACGCCACCGCCGCACTGAACAGAAGTGAACTACTCGTGCGCCGCCGGTTCACAGTACCTTAAATACCTTGCCCGCGCCGCCGCTGTTCGGCCCCTACCTTCCGCTAGAGTGGCGCTGATTGGCGGGGGAGAAGCGCAATGTCCGCGGGTACAGAAGAGGCTCCTTCTCCTTCTTCTCCCTTTTCTTCTTCTTCTTCTACTCCTTCCTTCCTTCTCCTGATGGCTCTTCTTCCCCTCTTTGCACTTCTTTTTCTTCTTCTTATTCTTCTTCTTCTTCTTCTAGTTCGTCCTCTTCTTTTTATTTTTACTTATCCCTCTTCTTTTTCTTTATCATTTTTTTGTTTTCCCTCTTTCTCTTCTCCTTTTTCTTATTTTCCTTCTTCCTTTCCTTCATTTTTCTATTTTCCATCTTATTTTCCTTTTTTCTTCTCATTTTTCCTTTAATCCTCATTTTTCTTTTTAATATTTTCCTTTCCTTCCTCTTTCCATTTTCCTTCTTATTTTCCTATTTAATATTTTCCTTTTCTTCTTATTTTTCTTTTTAATATTTTCCTTTTTCCTTTCCTTCTTCTTTTTCCTTTTCAATATTTTCCTTTCCTTCCTCTTTCTATTTTCCTTCTTATTTTCCTTTTTCCGTTCTTTCTCTTTTTTCCTTTCCTTCCTCTTTCCATTTTCCTTCTTTTTCCTTTTCAATGTTTTCCTTTTTCCTTTCCTTCTTCTTTTTCCTTTCCTTCCTCTTTCTGTTTTCCTTCTTATTTTCCTTTTTCCTTTCTTTCTCTTTTTTCCTTTCCTTCCTCTTGCCATTTTCCTTCTTATTTTCCTTTTTCCTTTCCTCCTCATTTTCCTTTTTAATATTTTCCACCTTCTTTTTCCTTTCCTCCTCATTTTCCTTTTTAATATTTTCCACCTTCTTTTTCCTTTCCTTCTTATTTTCCTTTTCAATCTTTTCCTTTTTAATATTTTCCTTTCCTTCCTCTTTCCATTTTCTTTCATATTTTCCTTTTTACTATTTTCCATTCCTTCTTCTTTTTCCTTTCCTTCTTATTTTCCTTTTTAATATTTTCCCTTTTAATATTTTTCTTTTTCCTTTCCTTCTTCTTTTGTCTTTCCTTCCACTTTCTATTTTCCTTCTTATTTTCCTTTTTCCTTCCTTTCTCTTTTTTCCTTTCCTCCTCATTTTTCTTTTTAACATTTTCCTTTCCTTCCTCTTTCCATTTTCATTCTTATTTTCCTTTTTCCTTTTCTTCTCCTTTCTATTTTTTTATCCTTTCCTTCTCTTTTTTCCATTCCTTCTTCTTTTTCCTTTCCTTCTTATTTTCCTTTTTAATATTTTCCCTTTTAATATTTTCCTTTTTCCTTTGATTCTTCTTTTTCCTTTCCTTCCTCTTTCTATTTTCCTTCTTATTTTCCTTTTTCCTTTCCTTCTCTTTTTCCATTTTCCTTCTTATTTTCCTTATTCTTCTTCCTTTTCTTCCTTTTTTACATTTTCGTTTATCCTTTCCTTTTCTTTTTTCTATCCTCCTTATTTTTCTTTCTAATATTTTCCTTTCCTTCCTCTTTCCATTTTCATTCTTATTTTCCTTTTTAATATTTTCCCTTTTCCTTCCCTCCTCATTTTCCTTTTTAATATATTCCTTTCCTTCATATTTTCCCTTTTAATATTTTCCTTTTCAATATTTTTCTTTTTTCTTTCCTTCCTCTTTCTATTTTCCTGCCCTTCTCCTTCTTTCTTTCCTTTCTCTTTTTATTTTCCTTTTTCCTTTCCATCCACTTTCTGTTTTCCTTCTTATTTTCCTTTTTAATATTTTCCTTTCCTTTATTCTTTTTCCTTTTCTTCATCTTTCTATTTTTCTTCTTAATTTCTTTTTTCCTTTTCTTTTTCCTTTCCTTCCACTTTCTATTTTCCTTTTCTTTTTCATTCTTTCCTTCCTCTTTTTATTTTCCTTTTTCCTTTCCTTCTTCTTTTCTTTTCCTGCTTCTTCTGCAATTTCTTCTTCCCCTTTTTTTCCTTTGTCTTCTTCTTCCTCTTCTTCTTTTCTTTCTTCTTCGCCTTTTCCTTGATCTTATTCTCGTTCTTCCTCTTCGTCTCCTTCTTTTCCTACTTCTTATTTTCCTACTTCTTCGTCTTCTTCTTTTTCTTGATTTTCCTACTTCTTCTACTTTTTCTTTTTCTTGATTTTGAAAAAACATGACGAAGAAAAAGGAGAATAAAAATCCTCCTTTTTCTTCGTCTTCTTCTTCTTCTTTTTTTTCTTCTTCTTGATTTTGGGAAAACGAAACGAAGAAAAAAGAGAATTCGAATTCTACTTCTTCTTCGTCTCGTTTTCTCTCGATGGAAAAAGAAAACAGTTGGAGACTTCGATTTCAAATAAAATAAAAAACCCCCTGAAAGGCGCTCAAGTCATTTTGTCATTGATAAAAATATTTTAATATTGAAATTACATTTTTCTTTTATAAATAATTCAATTTTGGAAGAGTAACGATACAATTTTTTATAAATAATTTTTAAATAATTGAATTTTAGAAAAGTAGCATTTTCAATTATTACTAAGAAATAATTGAATTTTGTTAAAATTAGAATTAAAACTTTTATAAATAATTGAATTTTCGTTACGGTGCTGTTTTCTATTTTATAAAATAATTGAATTTTAAATGGATTTCGTTTTCAATTTTTAAAAATAATTGAAAATTTTCAAAGTGTTGATATACGTTTTGATTTTTTTAAAAAAATTGAATTTGAAAAGTAGCGTTTTCAATTATTAAAAAATAATTGAATTTTGGTAGAATTTCGTTTTAAATTTATAGAAAGAATTGAATTTTGGTATAGAAACGATTTCAATTTTTAAGAAATAATTGAATTTTGTATAATTGTGTTTACAATTATTTTTATAAATAATTGAATTTTTAGTAGGGTTCTGCTTTTTATTTTTTTAAATAATTGAATTTTTATAGAATTTGGCTTTCAATTTCTAAAAATAATTGACTTTTGAATTTCAATTTAGAAAAAAAATTGAATTTTGGGAAAATTAGAGTTATAATTTTTATAAATAATTGAATTTTCGTTACGATGCTGTTTTCAATTTTTTAAAATAATTGAATATTAAAAGGATTTTTTATAAATATTATAATTTTTTATAAATAATTGAATTTTGCTAGAATTTCGCTTTCAATTTTTTAAAAGTAATTGAATTTTAAGAGTAGCGTTTTCAATTTTCTAAAAATAATTAAATTTTGAAAAAATTGGTTCACAATTTTTATAAATAAATAAATTTTCGTAGAGTTCTGTTTTCTATTTTTCACAATAATTGAATTTTAAAAGATTTTCGTTTTCAATTTCTAGAAATAATTGAATTTTAAAAAAATTCAATTTTGGAAGAGTTGCAATACAGAATTTTATAAATAATTAAATTCTGCTAGAATTTTGCTTTCAACTTTTGAAAATAATTGAATTTTAAAAGTAGAGTTTTCAATTTTAAAAAAATAATTGAATTTTGGTAGAATTTCTTTTTAAATTTATAAAAATAATTGAATTTTGGTAGAATTTCTTTTTGAATTTGTAAAAATAATTGAATTTTGGAAGTGAAACAATATTAATTTTTTAAAATAATTGAATTTTGATAGAATTTTGTAAAATTACGTTTTCAATTATTAAAAATAATTAAATTTTTGTGAGAATTTTTCTTACGGCTTTATAAATAATTCAATTTTTTAAATAATTTAATTACTAAAAATAATTGAAATTTGGAAGAATTACGTTTTCAATTTTCAAAAATAATTGAATTTTAAAAGAATTGGGTATCAATTTTTAAAAATATTTGAATTTCGAAAGAATTATGTTTCTAATTTTAATAAGGAATTGAATTTTCGAAGAGTTGCGTTTTTAACTTTTTTAAATAATTGAATTTTTGAAAAGTTGCAGTATTACCTATAATTTTTGTAAATAATTGAATTTTGAAAAAATCATGTTGTTAATTAATTAATTACTTAATTAATTTTCAATTTTTAAAAGTAATTACGAATTTTAGAAGAGTTCTTTCTTCAATTTTTAAAAATAATTATGTTTTTCAAGAATTGCTTTTTAATTTTTAAAAATATATATTAATTTTAAAACTCTATCGTTTTGCATGTAATTGAAATTTGCATTTCAATGTCAATCAAGGTCACTTCCTTTATACATACATAAATTACGCTTCGAGCTATCTAATTCAATTAGTGATGATTTTCTCTTATTAGTTCTATATATACTTAATTACATACAAACAATTTGTTACGCGGCAAGTATTTTTTTAATCATTAAAATTCTAAATTCCTTTTTTCAATATTCAATATCGTTTATTAAGTTGAAAAAATTTACTAAAAAAGGAGCAAAATTGTGTTTTCAATTCCTACTGAATTTTCGAGTCCATTCTCAAAATTTTGATCCCGGTAAAAATTTGAATTTTTAAACAATTTTTTAAAATTGCAAAATAATAAAAAAATTATTTATTTATTAAATTAACAAATTAATATAAAAAAAAGTAAATAAAAATAAAATAAAATTATAAATTAAAAAAATTAAATAATTTATATATTTATTAACGACGCTTATTAATAAATAATAAATAAATTTAATAAATTTTAATAAATAAAATTTTCTGTTTAATCTGCTTAAATCGTAGTGTATTTAAAAAATAGAAAAGTCTTGACGAAATTCTAAGAAGAGGATAGTTTTTTTTTGCGAAATGTTATTGAGAGAAATTTCTGAGATCACTCTTTTATTCCTCAATATTCATTGACGTCATTTATCAGGTATAGAATGAATTGACTTTTTTTTTATTCTTAATTAATAAAAAAAGAAACTGATATAATCTTATTTATTTTTCTAGGGGAAAATGAGTGCTTAATAAAGTGTTTGGAAAATTGACTTAAAAAATGAGAAAATTCTGAAACATCAAACTTTTTAGAAGAGAAGCGTTTTCCATTAATAAAAAATAATTAAATTTTGAAAGAATTTTGTTTTCAATTTTTAAAAATAATTGAATTTAAAAAGAATTCAATTTTGGTAGAATTAAGTTTTTAACTTTTAAAAATTATTGAATGTTAAGAGGAATGTTTTCAATAAATTAAAAATTAATTGAATTTTGGGGAATTAGGTTTACAATTTTGATAAATAATTGAATTTTGAAAGAATTACGTTTACAATTTTTATAAATAATTGAATTTTAAGAGTAGCGTTTTTAATTTTTTAAAAATAATTGA